CTTCCTTCACACTCTGTGGCTTTACACCTGGCTTCAGTGGCTGTGTGCTACATCCATCCCACAGAGTCCCTTCTCCATGGGCTCAGCTTTATCTTTCCTAGGCTTCTTTCCTGCCTCCTTCTGCCCTGTGCTCCCTGGTCCTTGAATTCCCTCTCCCTTGGCACAAACTTGCAAGCTGGGTGGCTCTGTGCAAGGGACACTGACCCAGGAACTCCAGCACAGCAGTTCCAACTACCTGATGCCCTTGATTCACAGCAGGGATAATCCTGCTCCATAGGGAACAGGAGGACGCTTGTGTGGAGATGGACAATTTGCTAATTCACAGAGTATGCGGCTTGGAAAGTTTTGGTGTCATGTTATGGGAAGTCTCAAGTGTTTTGGTTAATGCTTAGAAAAAGGGTCCCATGTGGGGGTTGCTCAACACCTCTGCTGTGGGAGGTGAGGGGGGTTGCCAAGGCTGTGCCTTCCAGCGTTTTCAGGCTGTGTGTGCCCTCTCCCCACAGGCCGGCCATACCGTGGGAAGCCCAGCGACATGTGGGCCTTGGGGGTGGTGCTCTTCACCATGCTCTACGGCCAGTTCCCCTTCTACGACAGCATACCTCAGGAGCTCTTCCGCAAAATCAAGGCTGCCGAGTACACCATCCCTGAGTGAGTACAGCCTGCCCTTCCTGCCTGGCCATGGTGGGGCTCACTGGGCCTTACTGGGACAGCTGGAGGAGCTCCCTTCAGCACCCCAAGAGTCACAGCAGTACTGACAACAGGCTGTGTGCAGTAGACACTAGGAAGCAGGAGCAGGGCTGGGACAGCTTGTGGGGAAGGTGAGGCAGGCTTAGAGCAGTGGTGGCTCCTGTAGCTCCTGGCCTGTGCTCCCAGCATGTCCATCCTGCCACCACTGCCCACCCCAGGCTCACCACATGCTGTCTCTCCCAGGGATGGCCGGGTCTCAGAAAACACTGTGTGCTTGATCCGGAAACTGCTGGTCCTGGACCCACAGCAGCGGCTGACGGCTTCTGAAGTGCTGGATTCCCTCAGCTCCATCATAGCGTCCTGGTATGTGCAAGGGGAGAGACAGGACACGCTGTCTCTGGCCGCAGGCTGTGTTGTTCCAGCTGTGGCTGGCTCACCTCACCAGAGGAGGGTCTGGGAACTGCAGTAAGCCTTTAAATCCCATGTGTCCACCACTTTGTGCTGATGGATACAGCTGGGGAGGCCTGTGCAAATGCTTACAGCAGGCATGGCCATCCCAGTGGGATCACCCTGGGGCTGGGTGAGCCAGTGCCACGCTCTGGATCCCAATGCTGTGCTCTCCTCCAGGCAGTCCATGTCCTCGCTGAGTGGCCCTTTGCAGGTGGTGCCAGACATAGATGACCAAGTGGCTAATCCTGAAAACCCCCAGGAGGTAGGTTTCCCTGCTTTCCACAGAACTGCTTTTCTGTGCTGGTCTATCTGTGATGGCACCCGTTGTGTCCCCAAGCTGGGAAGGGGAGGGCGGGGAGGACACAGCCGAGTCCCTCATGTTGTGCAATGGAAGGAAAGGCCAATGCTGCTGGGACCAGGAGGCACATCCAGCTGGCTGAGCTGCCAGGAAGTGAGCTCAGCCCCGGAGCTGATGAGAGCAGCTCACTCCGCACCCAGCAGCGCTCATTCCCTCACACGCAGCTGGGAATGCTGGGAGGAGGCAGCAGTGTTGGCTCTGGCTCCCAGTGAGCTCTGCCATGGGAGCAAACATCCTGTTTTCCTGCCAGTATGTTTCATGCTAGAAGGGCTGGCCATGGCCTGGCTGCCCAGGGATAGCCATGCAGGATCTGTGGCGGTGCCACAGGGACAAGGCTCAGGCAGCTGCAGCCTCAGTGCTGCCAGGGTTGGGATGAGCCATGTCAGGACAGAGCAGCTGTGGTGGCCAGAGCTGTGTTCTGGTGGCACTGCCAGCTCACGAGGAGTCTTGCCTGTGTGCCCAGCATCCCTTTCCTGCGTTAGGATCCCAGTTATCCCATGGGGCTGCCAGGTGCACCTCTGACAAGTCGGTCTCTGCAGGTGAAGGTGACAGAGGAGTGTTCCCAGTATGAGTTTGAGAACTACATGAGGCAGCAGCTGCTCTTGGCTGAGGAGAAGAACACCTTGCATGAGGCCAAGAGCTTCCTGCAGAAGCGGCAGTTCGGGAACATCCCGCCGGTGCGGCGCCTGGGCCACGATGCGCAGCCCATGAACCCTTTGGATGCAGCCATCCTGGCCCAGAGGTACCTCCGGAAGTAGCTTCCCATGCCCCAAGAGCACGAGCACCACCCTGCAGTCTGCCCTCACCTCACCTGCTCCAGCCTACAGCAATATCAGTGTCCCATGACGGGGAATAATGTAGCAATCCCAAGCTCTGTCCAGGGACACACACTCACACCTGCTCCGGAGGGAGAAGACTTTTGGAAAAGTTAGTTTTGGAAGCAGCAACCTCTTGACATCTTCTGGAATCTGTTTCTTAAAATCGAAGCCTAGATGACTAATCTGCTTTTAATCATGACTGTAATCTACCTCTCTTGTCTTTTTAACCATGCTGTTCTCTGGATCGAGCAAAGCCCGTGGGAAAGGAGGAGACTTCCAAGGGTGAAGCTGCTGGCACAGAGCCCTGGCTGTGCAGCACGGAGCTGGCCCGTGGCGCCCACTCTGTGTGGTTTGAATAAGCTTGGATTTATCAGGGTTTTTCGAAAGGCAGAATTTCTTTAAACCTCCCACTTCCCTTCATCTGCATCAAATCTGTTTCTGTCCTTGCATGCCTGGTCTGGCCACACTGGCCAGTCCTGTGTGGCCACCGCTGTGACCAGAGAGCCCGGCCACCGCCTCAGGCAGGAGTTGAGGAGTCGTCCGGGCAGCTCCGCCTGCAGTGATTGGATCCTGTCCCCAGTTCAAAGTTTTCACAGGACTTGGCCCACTAGGGCCCCTGCTCCCTCTCCCACCTCTCACTGGTTCTTTTAGTTTATAAGGATCTATGATTTAATCTTATTTTTCAGTAGCATATCCCAGGTGCAGTTACAGTTGCATTAATTCTGATTTAGCATTTCCCCCTCAGTTGTGGTACAGATGTAATATATGAGTTATAATGTGAAAAGCTTCCCAAAATAATTCACCTAGAGATTGGAGGGGCTGGCTGAAGTCTCTACTGTATTTGTTCCCAGCTTTTCTTGCCATCCCAGCCCAAACCTCTGCCTCTGCCCTCATGCCAAAGCAGGGGAAGGACATCCTGGTTTGTTACCTGGTGCCACTGGAAGAGCTTTGGCCTATGCTGAGAACAGGGACAATTGTTTCTGAGCCTCATTTATGAACTGGATGCCTGTCTTGCCAGATGAACTGTTCTCACACAGTGCTCCCTGGGCTCCCAGTGCCCTGGCCAGGGCTCCTGCTCAAGGCAGCACCTTCTTCAGCTGTCTCCTTCCCTGCTCCTGGCTGCTCCCAACCCTGGCATCACCCTTCTGCCATCCCTGTGAGCCAGGAAGGTTGGAGCTGGGGGGGCTGCCCAGCTCTCTGGGGCTGCACTGCTCTCTGGGCCCAGCTCCTGCAGCACAGCAGGTGTGGTCAGGGAGCCAGTGGCAGATGTTTGTAGCGTGTTGTTGCCTTTTCTTGCCCCGGGCTGGGGAAGGGGATGGGGTCTAAGCTGGGCCATCCCAGCAGTGGCTTTGTGGGGACAGGGGGCTGGACCTGAACCTCCCTGGCCATGTCGGGCATTACGTCCTGCCTGCGCCTCACCAAGGCCCTGTGGCCAGGCAGGGCCTCATGAACACTAACACAGACCAGCTCCCTGCACCAGCTGAGCCAGTAGCCCCAACTCTTTCACCTTATTTATTTTGAAGATGGTGGGTCTATCCTGTGGGTCCATCACCCCCTGTGCCACCAGCAGCAGGGTAGGGATCCCCTGAGCACCCCACCAGGGCCCTGGTCTCTCCTTCTGGTTCTCTCCTGACTCATTCTCTGTTTATTTTACTGTTTTTCCCCAATGTTAAAGCAAAAAGCAATATTCTGGGACTCCCTGAGGCTGTATCACACCAGGATCCTGCAGTGGCAGCACTGGTCAATCCATTTGTGCTAAGGCAAACTGGAAGGGGGTGGTGCAGCGGGCATGGGTGGGCCACAGGACCACGGCAGGACAGAGCCTGTTGTAAGGAAAAAAAAAGAAAAAAAAAAAAAAAA